CGTGATTAGTCAAATCTGACTTCTGCAGCTCGTGTTGGATGCAGGGTTGTTGTTTTTTTCCACGAAATTGGGCTGCTTTTAAACTGTTGCCATGGGTTGATTTTCCCCAGTGGGTTAAAGGTTTGAAATATTGCATAAATTACATTTGGTTGAAATGCTTGTACTGAAACATTTTGCATTCTACCTGTAATAAAACTGTGCTAAATGTTTTGGGCCACACTAGTAGGTAGCATTTGAGCTGTGTTTATGATAAATGTGCATAACATTGACTGTAAAATATGTATTTTAGGGATGGAAATTACATTTTTATATTTGGGACATGGTAATTGCGCTATTTAGGGCTGTATTTTTATTTTATTTATTTTAATTTTTTTTTACTGGCATGGGCTTGGGATGCTTAATTAAAATGATGTAATAGTTGTGATCATTATTTTACCTTCCATGATCATTCAGACTTGATCAGGTGCATTACTGACACTCTGTCAAGTCTGCATCAAATCAAGCACTCCGTAATCACAGGTAAACTGTCTGATCAGTCAGATGTTTGTCATGAGAAGTGTTCCACAAAACAGCTATGGTTTGCAGACATAACAGTTGATATGACAAATACATCTTTTGAATATACTGTGTGAACTCATTGCCCCGTTAGCCTGGAGAGCTTTATTTTCCCTCCTCAATAAGTTTTGTCAGTTGTTTTGTTTATTGGTCTAATTCTTGTTTCTTGGGTTGCATTGGTTAGTCACTCAATTAATTCTCTTGTGCTTCGTTCCCCCCTTCTGAATTATGTTTTATTGATAAGGAGCTATCACAAAGTAAGTCTGTTTAGTTGCGCTATCTTACAATCAATATAAATGTAAGTTAAAGTGTTGCCGATGTAACCGGTTAAAACTTGGAGTGGCGATGAGGTCTTAAAATGTATGGAAAGAGTCTTAAAAGGCATTAAATTTAACTCCATGATTCCTGTATATACCCTGTAGAATGATTTCTGAAGGATCATGTGACACATCATGTGAAAATTCAGCTTTGATCACAGACATAAATTACAGTTTAACAGAGATTCAAATATAAAACAGTTATTTTAAATAGTAAAAATATTTCACAATATTACTGCTGTTGCTGTATTTTGGATCAAATAAATACAGGCTGAAGAGACTTATTTGAAAAACAATTAAAATCTTACTGTTCAAAACTTTTGACTGGTAATGTATATTTTTTTGTACAATTTTAAATTTAATTATTTTTGTAAAATAATAAATATAAAAATACCCAATGAAGCAATGGATGTCTTTTATTCATCTTTAAGTATGTGGAGGACCTGGACGTATTTCACATCAAGTTGTGATGAACAAGGCCTGAAGGTCAATGCCATGTTACTTAAATAATCTATCAATGCAAGCAATCTTTATTCAGCCTATGTATGTGTAGCCTACTGCATATGGAGAGCTGTTGATTCTGTCATTCATATGTTAACACTTTATGATAAGTGGAACACATCTTTAGAAAATTAAATAATTATACAATACCAACTTTTACAATAATTTTACATACTTTTACAATACCAAAATCTAATTGTACCCTTTATATTAGATACATTTTAACATTTTATTAATAACATTGTATTTGCCTTGGGTAGGTAAAAATCGATCGTAATAAATGTGAATTTATCTCATTACATAAATGAACAAGGTAAGGTTTAAAGGTTTTTTTATTAACAATTAGCCTGCTTTAATCAATAGGCTTGTTTGAGATGAGCAAAATCTGTGCAGAACCGATCACCGGTGATCACCACGAGATGCATGCCGGTTAGAAAAGTGTCCGAGTTACGTGCGATGGCGAGGCGGCTGTGTCGGATTGTGCAGTCGAGCGCAGTTAATCTCCACCGACTGTGCTGATCAAAAGCATGATGGGAAACAACACAGCTTAAAGGGGTCATATGATGTTGCTAAAAAGAACATTATTTTGTGTATTTGGTGTAATGAAATGTGTTTATGCAGTTCAAAAAACACATTATTTTCCACATACTGTACATTATTGTTTCTCCTCTATGCCCCGCCTTTCTGAAGTCGATTTTTACAAAGCTCATCGGTCAGAAAA